CAGTCACACTGAGGGGAGGATATTCTGCTCCATTTATACAGGGAATCCTGGCAGATGCCATGTGAGCTGTGAATCCTATTCAGGATTGTCCATTGCTGATGTGGTAATTCAAAGCCTGGCACCTTTCTTTGTGGGGCCATTGATATGTCTTCCTATGTCTGGGTGTTCAGTGACCCATTTGTCTTTCCATTGAAAATTGATGTTAAAGCTGTTGGGCAGGTGTTGTGCAAGTGCCATTGGGGGCTTCCTGGATTTGATAAATGAGGACAGTCGGCATGCATTGGTAGGAGTGGTTATTCATCATTTTTATGTATTGTCTCCAGGGCATTTTTTGTCATAGAACACACCGGAATGGTGTTCCAGCGCCTTTTTTTTTTTTTTTACTGATTTTCCAGAGTTGCGTTCTCTTCCTATTGTTGCCCTTCCCATCCTCGTTTGCTTTTGAAAATGCCCTGCTGGCACCTCACAATCCACCTTCTGTAAGGGAAGGCAAAAGGCTCTCTCTCTCTCGTGAAAGATGGCCTCCATGTTTATGTGTCTCCCACCGCCACCAACGGCTTCCACACCACATGGTCCGACCCTACCAATCAAGCCACGCTCTGGCTGTGGTGCTCCGGCGCCTCATGGCTCCTCCTAGAGGAGGCAGACAGCGCCGGAGGGGCGTTCCGGCACGTTCTATGACAAAAAAAACCCTGATTGTCTCACTAGTGCAGGGGTAGGCAACCTTGGCTCTTTTATGACTCGTGGACTTCAACTCCCTGAATTCCTGAGCCAGCCATGCTGAGGGGAAAGGGAGAGGTTTCTAAGCTGAACCATGCTGGCTCAGGAATTCTGGGAGTTGAAGTCCATGAGTCATAAAAGAGCCAAGGTTGTCTACCCCTGCACTAGTGCATCTTACCTTCATAAAACTGGTGGTGCTGTATGGCTCAGAACAGGAAGCCAGCAACTTGGAGTGGTTTTAATACATCCACTTATAATCCTCATGGTATCATTGAATCTGACGTCTAACTTATTAGTATGGTAGCTGTTAAGCCGTACAGAGGACATAACATTCAACCTTCCATAAAATCTATTAAATAAAAAGGTGGAGAGGGGAAAAAAAATCTTTCTTCCAATGTGCATATTATAGTAGCGAGGCCTTAATCAGTTTTTAACAGATTTAAACAGATTTAAAAGATGCTATAGTACAGGCGTCTTCAAACTTGGCTCTTTTATGACTTGTAGACTTCAACTCTCAGAATTCCTCAGTCAGGCAGACTGGCTGAGGAATTCTGGAAGTTGAAGTCCACAAGTCATAAAAGGGTCAAGTTTGAAGACCTCTACTACAGTAATTGCCTCCTGAATTTCAGAAGATCATTCTTGACCAGCGATCATACTAGACTGAGATGGCATTGAGATGTTCTTGATAAACCCTCTGAGGACCTCAGTGGTCATAAAGGTAATGTAAATGTATCACTATAAAGGTAAGATAAAGTTAGGTTAGGTTAGATAAAGCTAGACTGATCCAATAAGAAGTCTCTGGCATATTCCAGGGAGCTTTTGATACACCAGGTAAATATCTCTGTTCTTTTAATCTTGATTTCTCTCTTCTGAACTATTTTCCAAGTCCTGATTTGTTAGTGGTTAGTTGGAGACAATTTGAATCCATATATTTTTATGTCCAACGATTTATAGGCTTATGTAGACAAATGATTTCAGCAAGTCTGCTATCTTTTTTATGGATTCTTTTCCAGCAATCAAGCTGGGCTGTTTGTTGTACAATAAATAAATCATAGTTATTGCAGAAAATGAAATAATTGAAACCTAATATTATTTTTATTTATTGTGCTTAAGTTTATTATTTGTTCAAGGAGGAATAAAAAACAATAAATAAAGGATGAGTTTACACAGATATCCCCCATTTACAGCCTATTAAATTAGTCTTACTCACGTGTTCATAATATAGCATACATTTATTTGTTTAAATTTAAGCCAGTTTCCCTGGCAGGAAAAAAATGGAAAATTAAACATAAGAAAAAAATAGCTTAAACAGGTCAAATTCCTCAACAGTTCTCCAGTGGATGCTTCCAGTGACAGAAAGCTTGTTCAAACATAGAACTAGAGATTCTTTCTCAGACAGCTTTGTAACTAATGAAGGCTGACTATCCTTATCCCTGTATTGTTGTTGTCACTATATTATTTCACAATCATATGAACAAGGCAGTATCCATTTCTTTTCTCCACTTGTTGGCTTTCACGCTTGAACAAAAGAAGATAGCTATCCACAAGAATTAATAAGTCTTCCAAACAATTAAATGAGGCGTTAAGGAAGAAAAATACATCATCTTTTATGTTATGTAAAAATAATAAAGTGACAGGGGTCTTCCAACTTGGCAACTTTAAGACTTGTGGACTTCAACTCCCAGAATTCCTCAGCCAGCCAGGGCTGGCTGAGGAATTCTGGGAATTGAAATCCACAAGTCTTAAAGTTGCCAAGTTTGAAGACCCTTGCATTAGTTGAATATCTTAACTTCTTCCTGAGAAGACATTTAAGTGTCCATTACATATAAAATAATTTTGTATAACTGGATAATTTCAATTTTGACTGAATTAATCATACAGTAATTTTAAAACGATCAAATATATTCCCTATACGCTTGAATACAGTAATCCTCAACTTATAAGCACATTGAGGACTGGAATTTCCATTGTAATTTAGTGTGATCGTAATTCGAGTCATCGCGTGAGCAGATTTTACAATCATTTGTACCATAGTCATACAGTGAATCACTGTGCTTGTTAAGCAAACCACACGGTTGTTCAACAAATCCAGCTTTCAAAATTTAATTTTTTTTGCCCAAAACTGGCAAAAAAAGGTAACAAATCACAATCACTTGACCTCAGGATGCTGAGATAACAGAGCAACAGAATAACAGACTTGGAAGGGACCTTGAAAGTCATCTAGTCCAACCCCTGCTCAAGCCTATACTATGCCAGACTAGTGGCTGTCCAATCTCTTCTTAAAAGCCTCCAGTGACGGAGTTAAAATCCTCCAGTGATGCTACAACTGGTTGTAAATGTGGTTTAGTTGCCAAGCACCTGAATTATGATCACATGACTGTGGAGGGGGCTGTTGTGATGGTCATAAATGTTGAGTATAGCTTGTAAAATACTTTTCTGAGACCTCATAACTTGTTAAACAAACTGTTGTAAATCAAGAACTATCAGTACGGAGGTTTCAATGATGTGTATATTAACCAAAAGTATTGACCAGAACTAATGAGAGTAAGGCATTCACAAGTTGCATGCTGTCAGTTCTTATTTCTTTGGAATCCTTATTATGGATCCGTGGTTAAACTATATGGATAAAATACAGGTTGGCCATTTATTTTTTTTAAAAGAAGCTTACATTGGATTGGTCTTTAATAAAGTTTTTCATTCAGTAAGGTAATTATTCTTTTTTTTTTTTTTTTTCTCCAGGGCTTCTTCTGAAGGTGATCTAGAAGTTCAGAGAAAGTAAACTTCAGAATCATTGGATAAGGTGAACCTCCAGGCCAGCCACCAAAGTCATATGCCTAAAGGCGAATCAGTTCTGTATTTCCATACCACTCTCATGTGACAGTAACACGATCCCAGTTTAACAATTTAACTCAATAATTTACATTTTAAACCTCCTAATGGCCAAGGAGCATTGCAAAAGGAGATCTGAAAGTTAAGATTTTGTCAGTCCCGGCCCATTACAGAGCCAAAAATATGCATAAAATACCTGTGATTAATTCAGATGGGTGATCAAAAAGCAAACGTGACGTGAGACTATGACTCAAGGGGAGACAAGAGGCATGGACATGAATAATTTACATCTGTGCTAAGCAATACAGGTTGTGCTTGCGATAGCTTCCCATGAGTCATAGCAACTTCCTGAAACCTATTCTCTCTAATCTATTGGATTACCACAGACACCACCTCTAAGATGGCATGGCCCTTGATCACATTGGCTGAGGATAATGGGTGTTGTAAAGCCTGGAATCAATTTGGAAAAGACTAAGAATTTCTTGTCTTTGGCTATGAGCAAATAGGGTCAGTTTATTGATCTTGCGTTTACAGTATTCATACAATGGCTTTCTCTCTTCACTCCTTTATTTTTTTTAATTAGAGGAGAAGAGGAAATAGGGAAAAACAGTACCCAGAATGCTATATTCCAAAGCTGATGGCTTCAGCTTGCTAGGGAAAGAGCTATTCTTGTGGAAAACGAAAGGACTCTTACAAATTCCAGAGAATTTTAGCAGAGAGATTTATTGCGCAGGTTCAGAAGCAATAGCAACAAGCAATTCTGAACCCCGAGGGCGAGTTCAAACTTCAGTTTTATACTTTCCTTTTTTTTCTCAGGAACAAAGGAATACACATTGTAATACATTAGGTTTGTTTCTCACGGGTATACAATGGAGAGTTTGCTACATACATTGTATCCAAGTGCAATGCACATTAGGTTAAGTCACATACTACTAACACAGCACTATTCCAGTAATTATGCAGACACACCATTATTCTAATGATTGTTCATTATTCCACATTACTATGGCTTGAAAGCAGAATTCATCAATTATAGAGAACCCAGGGAATTAGATGTAACATTGTCTAATTCCAAATCTGTAAATTTCATCAGTTAGTAAAATAAACAGAGAAGCAGGCTGTTAATAATTGCACTAGCTTTTTTTTTAGAATTTATGTATTTAGATTGATGTTTATTTAATTTTTATGCTTTTTCTTTTCCTGTTTTTAGCTCTGTATTCAGCTCTGGGAAGGGGGGGAGGGTTATGGGGGGGTGGAGGGAGGCTGGTGGGGAGGGATTTTATTGTAAAAACTTTATAAAAATTTCAATAAAAAATAATAATAATAATTGCACTAGCCATTTTACCCACCACACATGGATATTACTGGGTCCCTCCCTTTGGAATGTCATCCATTAGACTAGCCCCCATTTGGACACTCTTTCATGAGGCCCTGAAGAATTGGTTTTGCCAGTGGGCCTGGGGAACCCAGACTGGAGCCCATCAAATGGCTTATTTGACTGTGTGTTGTCAAATGAGGGGGAGGTATTGTTTTTTGTTTTTTATTTTCTAAACTGAGTTTTTATTGCTTGTAAGCCACCTAGAATTGCTTTAATTTCCCAAATAAATTAAAGCAACACAGCTAGGAAAGGATGTGGTTTAAGGCTGTGTTTCACCATCCCTCCCTATTGGCTTTGTTAGTAAGAACAACTTAGCACCGTTGGGGTCTGATAAGACTGCAGTGAAATGATTTATGTGCTGACATCCTCAGGCAGATGATAGGCCTTAGGTAAATGATGGCCAGTGATATAATGACGGGTGGGATGTCATTTTTCCTCACCGCTTCCCTTTCTTTCCTATCCTGTTCTGAGGACTAATCAAGATCTAATCAAAAGTCCTGCCGCTAACACTGTCAAGTTAATGTGAGTCAGGAGAGGAAAGGGGATGTTGCCAAGTTGGTCTGATGGATTATTCAAGACTTATCCCAAGTCGTGATATTACATCTTCCTTTATTTTACACGGGACAATATACAAAGCCTCACTATCCAATTAGTGAATTTTGTGGATCATCAAAATATAAAAATGGGATCATTCCGGATTCTATCTGACTTCTTTGAAACAACCCTGGTTTGACCTTCTGCAAAGGTGAGTCAAAGCATTGGGCATAATTTTATTACCACGTGAAAGGAATTGCTTTGAGACCTTCAGTTCCCCAGATCTTAAACATGGATTTTGGCCAATAAAAGACTAATAAGGGTTGAAATGAGGGCTCCTTGGAACTCTCTGAACTTGGTTGTGTTCTTGCAGATGTTTCATACAGAAACTAGGTAACATCATCAGGACTGATGATGTTTTTAACCTAGTCTGGGTAACACAAAACATCTGCAAGGAAGCAACTAAGCTCAAAGAGCACCTAGGACCCCATCCCCAGTAAAAGCTCCCCCCCCTTGCTGTGCACTGTCAGTCTCCTAGCCCTTTACAATACTGATCCAGACTAAGATGGAATGGTATTAAAGAGGTTTCACGGCAGAGAGAGAGGGATGGTTAATCACTGCAACCAAATATGTTCTTTCAGATGGCAGTAAATTAAAGATTGAAAACATACATTAGAATGTTTGCTTTAGTATTATCCTTCATCATAAATACAAATATATATTTATTTATCTTCAAGATTCCTGACGGTTCACAATGAAGAAACAAACAAAACCGCAATCAAATCAAAATAAACATTCATCAGACAATGCCACTAAGAACAAGATAACCCCTTACAAATGAAGTCTGGTAGATGTGGTTTAAGTCTCTTCTAATCAGGGCCCCACCTAGGCCTGAGCTTTTAGGGCTATATTGGACATGACTTTAAAGCAGGGGTCCCCAACTCCTGGTCCATGGATCGGTACCGGGCCACAGCATGCCAGCAACCGGTCCGCACAAACAAAACCTCATCCGCGGGATGCAGGCAGCACACAAAACCACGCACTCTCTGGTCCGTGGAAAAACCTTTCTCCACGGAAGCGGTCCCTGGTACCCAAAAGGTTGGGGACCCCTGCTTTAAAGTCTCTTCTAGATGGGGGAATGCAGGACAACACCCCCTCCCCCAAATTAAAGTGAATTGAGTCTCCTCTCTCCTGACCACATAACATAGTATTGGCATCACCTCACTTTTTCCTTATTTTTTTTTTTGTCTAGCTTTCTCTGTCAAATGGGTAATTTCAGCTTGAAAAGATGTTCCCCTATTTAGCACGAAGATCTATTAATGTGTGCCTGAGAATCTTACATTCTCTGTATGATTTGGAAGGTTGATAAGATAATGTCCCAGCCGATTTTCTGACTGATGATAAAGCCACACGTGAATTCAGCCAAATAAGGTTATTTCCTTGGGCAGACTGGCTGGGCACATAGTAGTTGAGGTGGGGCTTGCTCATGTTACATTAGAGGCCGTCCTTGCTTAACAGTCATAACTGGGACCGGCAATAGTTGATAGATAAATTTAGATCCCTCATTTGCACTTTGAGAAATTGATAGTATTGTCTTTTCTTCTTCTTCTTCTTCTTCTTCTTCTTCTTCTTCTTCTTCTTCTTCTTCTTCTTCTTCTTCTTCTTCTTCTTCTTCTTCTTCTTCTTCTTCTTCTTCTTCTTCTTCTTCTTCTTCTTCTTCTTCCTCTTCCTCTTCTTCTTCCTCTTCCTCTTCCTATTCTTATTCTTATTCTCATGCTTCTGTAATGCCACAAGAGTGAACACTTTATTAAAAATGGATTGAGATATTACCGCATTTTTGTAATGAAAATTATAGAATCAGCACAATGAACTGGAACAATAACAAACACAGATCTCAGTTTTTAGAATGTTATGACAACAGAACAGGAACTTTTTTTATTAGCAAAATTAAGCGCTTAGCTTGGGTGTCAGACGCTCTATATCTGCAGGATGGTAATTAACCTTTAATTAAACCTCCCCATCCCCTTTTGAAAATATACCGCCTGGTGCATTACAGTTGCTTTTCATATGTAAGTTTTTGAGAATGAATATGTGTATTTGTGTGTCTATAAAACACGAAGATGTGCATTGGCATGTTTGTAAAACAATGGAACTATTGAAGCAGTGTAGCATTTACTGCTTTGAATGCGTTCACATGCAAAAGATAATAACAGAATAACAGAATAATAGAGTTGGAAGAAAGATCTTCTAGTCCAACCCCCTGCTCAGGCAGGAAACCCTATAGCATTTCAGACAAATGGCTGTCCAGTCTCTTCTTAAAAACCTCCAGTGATGGAGCATCTACAACTTCTGGATACAAGCCGTCCCACTGGTTAATTGCTGCTTATTGTCAGGAAATTTCTCTTTAGTTCTAGGTTGCTTCTCTCCTTGATTAGTTTCCATGCATTGCTTCTTGTCCTGCCTTCAGGTGCTTTGGAAAAATAGCTTGGCCCCTCCCTCTTCTTTGTGGGAGCCCCTCAAATATTGGAATACTGCTATCATCTCACTGCTGATCCTCCATTTCATTAGACTAGACATACCCAATTCCTACAACCGTTCCTCATATGTTTTTACCTCCAATTCCCCTAATCATCTTTGTTGCTTATAATCATCATAATCAGATCATAAGATTGGCACCCATTAAGGGTTCCGAAGAAGAGAGACACGCCAGAAGAGACTGACTGATCTATTTAGAGAAGGATTGCAATATGATGCTACATAAAGTTTCCCAGAAGGAGAACATAGAAAGGGCACAATGAGGATAGGCAAAGCACGAGGAGGTACAAGATTTACAAGACCTCCTGGAAACAGTTTGAAACAATATGGTGTCCTGATCCAATATATGGGTGGAAAATCAGGTTTTCTGCAGCTCCAAATTAGGTTACTGAGCCATGCAAACCTCAGTGTGAGGACTCCTTTCAGATGACATCTTCAGCAATAAAGGAAGGCAGACCTCAAAGTCGACAAAGATGGCACCTGGAGCAGACCCACCCTGGGCAACCTGGTGGGATGGACAGAGTTAACTGGAGAGAATTCATATAAGTTTCCAATATTAAATTCCCTTTTTATGACCCTATAATCCACTGGTGGCGAACCTATGGTACGGGTGCCAGAGGTGGCACTCAGAGCCCTCTCTGTGGTCATGCGCACCGTCGCTCCAGTCTTAGGCCTTCAGCTGGGTTTTATAAAACCTTTTCACTTTAGGCCTCCACCGCCGTGTGCAAAAAAAAAAAAAAGGTTCAATCAATCAGTCAATTTCAAGCTCTCGTGGGAAAAAAAAGATCTTGCAAAGTTGGTTGATTGAACTTTTTAGTCCCACCCAGTCTGCCATTACCACTGCAGCCACATCCAGCCAATGGGCCACGCCCACCCAATTGGCCACACCCAGCCAATGGGCCACACCCACCCGGCACCCAACGATGCATAAGTGGGTTTTGGGTTGCAGTTTGGACACTCGGTCTCTAAAAGGTTCGCCACCACTGCTATAATCCCTTAATTTGGAGTAGAGTCAGGGCGACTGGACAGAGCTGAGCATTTAGTGGCCAGATGCTCTTCCTGACTCCTACGTGAACTTCACAGCAGATACTTTTTCTTTGCGCCCTAAATATTTGCCACTATCTAGAACTGAACTCTCAACCTTCCGAGTGGGAGGCAAGTGTCTTCACCACTAGGTCACCCAGCCACTCTTCCATCACATCACTCGTATAGTTTCCAATATTAATATTGTAAAATATAAAATACATATATCAACACAGTATAACATATACTTTTGCTTTTTCTTTAAAAAAAACAGGATTAAAAAAAAGTTTTTCCTGACTTTTGACATTGTTCACTTGTTATAGATATAAACTCTATATATTTTAATCCAGACTCAGCCCTGGATTAATCATTAGGCTAAATAAGCAAGTGTTTAGGGCACCACAGGAAAGTTTCCTCCCCGGTTATCATGCTCTTAACTCTTTCACTGAACATTTCTTCAACCTTTATTGAGTCTGAATGTCTTGTTAGGTACACAAGGGAAGAGCTGAGGGACACCATTGGTGAACTGTGCTTAGGAAATCTGTTGGCTTTAATTGTTCCTATCCAGCTTACACTCTCTCTTTCTCTCTCTTGATTTGGAGAAATCCAGAGCCTGGGCATGACCCCCAATGACAAAATGCTTCTGTAGCTGGCTTATTAATGCTTAAGAAGAAAAGGAGAAAAGTAACCTGGAACTAAGGAGAAATTTCCTGACAATGAGAACAATCAACCAGTGGAACAACCTGCCTCCAGAAGTTGTGAATGCTCCAACACTGGATGTTTTTGAGAAGAGATTCGACAACTATTTCTCTCAACTGGTATAGGGCTTCCTGCCTGAGCGGGGGGTTGGACTAGATGACCGCCAAGGTCCCTTCCAACTCTGTTATTTTGTATTCTATTCTGTAAGAAAAAGAACAGAAATTGGTATTGAATAAGCTACCATTATGGACTGGAACCAAAGAGTAGGAAAAGAGCAGCAACGCAGAGAGGAAAAATAATGTATTCATTTTTGTAAATATGTAACGTTTACAGATTTCACTTTTTACAGTGGATTTCACTTGAAATTCTCCTGCTGGCTTCCAGAGGAAAGTGTTGAAGAAAGCGAAAAGCATCTGTCTTCCATTGCAGAAACAATCCTTGTGACATGACCCAAGAATTCCAGGGACTGAGGGAATAAAGAACAACAAGGAAAAATCCTGAAAGGGCCTCATGTTGTTGACAGGTCTTGAGGGAAAAATCCTAAAGACTTTTGCAATCCCAAGTAAGCTTGAAATTTTATGCAAACAACAAGAAACCGTTACCACAGCTGCTTTGGTAAAATATAATGAATAAGATGAAAATAGTTCTAAATTAGGATCAGTCATGTGACCTCAGTGGATTATTTATATAACTGGTGGAACTCTGTGGTTCAGCCATAAAAGGTGAAGAACGGTTACAGGAATTGGGTATGTCTAGTCCAGGGGTAGGCCACCTTGGCTCTTTTATGACTCGTGGACTTCAACTCCCAGAATTCCTGAGCCAGCCTGGCTCAGCATGGAAACCTCTCCATTTCCCCTCAGCATGGCTGGCTCAGGAATTCTGGGAGTTGAAGTCCACGAGTCATGAAAGAACCAAGGTTGCCTACTTCTGGCCTAGGCCTAGGCCGCTTTATGACTCGTGGACTTCAACTCCCAGAATTCCCGAGCCGGCCATGCTGAGGGGAAAGGGAGAGGTTTCCAAGCTGAGCCATGCTGGCTCAGGAATTCTGGGAGTTGAAGTCCACGAGTCATAAAAGAACCAAGGTTGCCCACCCCTGGTCTAGTCTAATGAAAAGAAGGGCTGGGGGAAACACAATAGCACTGTTCCAATATTTGAGGGGGTCCTACAAAGACAAGGGGGTCAAACTATTTTCCAAAGTGCCAGTAGGCAAGACAAGAAGCAATGGTTGGAAACTAACCAAGGAAGAAGAAACGTAAAACTAAGGAGAAATTTCCTAGTGGTGAGAGCAATCAACCAATGGAACAGCTTGCCTTCAGAAGTTGCGGGTGCTCCATCACTGGAGGCTCTCAAAAAGAGACTGGACAACCATTTGTCTGAAATGATACAGGGTTTCCTGCTCGAACAGGAGGTTGGACTAGAAGACCTCTGAGGTGCCTTCCAGTTCTGTTATTCTATGTTCTAACCGCTTGCTCTATCAAATCTCTGCCAGTTGGAATGGAAGTTATACTATCACGACACCAAATTGGCTCTCATATAACTAAATGGACAGAAGTGTGCTCTTTTTATGCAGCCATTTTGGCTTCTTCCAAAAAGTATCCATTTGTCATAACAGCTCCCATGCTACCTTCTACATTTCTCCCCTCATTAACATTTCTCCATCTGTTATCCTATTTTTCTACCAAGGTACACCAATTCATCTACTTTGGGACATTTTGTCCCATACAATCTATTTTACATTTGCTGTGCTTCATTTGGGATCTCAGCCAAGAACAGAGTGCATACAATTGTAGATACATTAATGCCCATAACTAGCATACCTCTAGGCCCATTAAAAATATTATTCATGGAATTTATCTATGCAATAATCAACCACAGGAATTGCACACAATCTCCTCTTGCTCTCTGTTCAATGCTAAACCATTTTCACTAAGCAATCCGCTTACTTGCAGACATGCTTTAATCCCATCACCCATCATCCTGACAGCATTCAGCAATCAACCATCAACTCCATATTATTCATGCAAAAAAAATTCCTTAGTTGAATTCGTTCACGTTTTCTCTAAATCAGATTTACAATACATTATATTTTCTCGCATTCCTATCTTTTCTACAGACTTAGTAAAAATCTACATCTGAGGAAAAAGCAATTTTGCTACTGATGCTACCAATCAGAAGACATTGTGCAGACACTGTTCCACCTTTTCCCTCTTTGTGGATGTAGGGGCTGTGGTGGCACAGTGGTTAGAATGAAAAATTGCAGGCTGACTCTGCCCACAGCCAGGAATTCGATCCTGGCCGGTTTAAGATTGACTCAGCCTTCCTTCCTTCTGAGGTCAGTAAAATGAGGACCCAGATTGTTGGGGGCAATAGGCTGACTCTTTAAACTATTTAGAGAGGACTATAAAGCACTGTGAAGTGGTATATAAGTCTCAGTGCTATTGCAAACTCTGCCCAATGCCAGGAGTTCGATCCTGACCAGCTCAAGATTGACTCAGCCTTCCATCCTTCCGAGGTTGGTAAAATGAGGACCCAGATTGTTGGGGGGGCAAATAGACTGACTCTGTAAACTGCTTAGAGAGGGCTATAAATACTTATATACTGTGAAGCAATACATAAGTCTAAGTGCTACTGCTGTTGTGGCTAGATTTAAACGCTGTCCAAAGCCACTTTTAGGAAAGTTCAGCCTTGTTTCTCTGTTGCTGGGAAGTTCACCCTCCTGCTTTGCTTCTATTTAGCCCAACAATGTGTGGCCCACATGCAAATCCACAATGACATTCTTGACAGTGACTCAATCAAGTTGCAACTTGCTGAATACAGATGACAATATGAGACACTGAAATGGCATGTTCTGTTGCATAAAAATAGAAGAAAGCAAACAACCAAGGAGCTATTATTTACACAGGCTTCTGATTTGCCTAGGCACAAACATCTTCAAGTGGCAGCAATTTGTGACTAATAAATACTCAGTTCTTTAGCTGATTCACTATGAGCCAATCGGCTCTTTTATAACCATTTCCACCTATGTTAGGTGACTCAGACATACGCAATCAACACCATGTTTCCCAGAACAAGAAAGAAAGAAAGAAAGAAAGAAAGAAAGAAAGAAAGAAAGAAAGAAAGAAAGAAAGAAAGAAAGAAAGAAAGAAAGAAAGAAAAGTCACAAAGCTCTGGAAAACAAAGAAAGGTCAGGACAGTTGATAATCAAAAACTTACATTGAAAGGTGTTGTCATGGAATCAAAAGAAAGACTTTATTCCCTCTGGGGCACTATACATTTACTATGAAATGATCTTTGTAGAGACAACTGTCTGGCATTTAGTGTTTTCTCAGCATTTGAAAACAGAGCCAGTTCTCCACAACCCACCTTTCTTTTATTTTCCCAGGCTTTTGAAAACATGCTACTGGCTTTTAACACAAGTCTAGCATTGCAGTTTCTATTCTCTCATCTCTGCTTCCTGAAAGTCTCTAAAATCTTGTGGCATTCCAATTCATGGTATGCTTTTAACAGCATTTTGTAAAGTTGGGGTTTGTTTTTGAATTTTTATTATAATTTTGTGAGCCACTGATGGAACTTTAGTTAATGAAGGGCTTTAGCAAGCCACAATTTCTTAGCTTCTTATTCTTACAAGGTTGGAGTCATTAAATGAAAGAAAGAAAAAAAACCACACTCCTGTGGATTCTGTTCGTAAGCCAGGAGGCACTGAATCATGGATAAAATTCAGGTAGACAAACTCAAGCTGCCTGATGCTCAAACAAAATTCAAATCTGAAGCAGGTTGCTAATACTGTAGGTTGCTGGGTTCTGTTCCTGGACATCTTATATTACAACACTTTCCTGAAATGTTACATCAACACAGAAGATGTCCTATGCTTCAAAATGGCAGGGATAAACAAAATAAAATATAGGTGGAGAAATCAATAGCTCCAGCCACCATTAAAGTCTGAAATCAAAGTTTTTGTGTACACATGCTGATACACAAACTCCTTCTATCAAAGAAGGAAACAGGATACCTTCAATGTCACCACTCACTCCCACGTGCATGGGCCAATACAGTTAGTCTTATACCAGGGGTCTTCAAACTTGGCAACTTTAAGACTTGTGGACTTCAACAAAAAAGACATTAATATCTCAAAGCTCTGAAACCAATACAATAATGTTTGTCTGATGGTTGTACTTTTCTAATTGAGAATAATGTACTGCCTGCGTAAATGATGCCAATCCAGTTCAGACTGGGCTGATCTGTAGCTCTTGTAAAATACAGTTGGAATAAAGGAATTATTATATATATATAAAAAAACACAGTGTTATTATAACACCATCTTCATTTGCCTAATTTAGAAACTGCAAGTCCTAAGGCAAAATGTCACCTCTTTATTGTCTAAATCAGCGTTTCTCAACGTCTGTGTGACGGCGACCCCTGTCACATGGACGCGCCGTGTATGCGTGGCGCCCCATGCGCGGCGCTGCCCCCATGCACGGTGCGCATGCGTGGCGCCCCCATGCGTGGCGCCCCTATGCGTGGTGCCCCCATGCGCGGTGCGCATGCGCGGTGGCGCTCCCTGGGGGGGAAATGGCAGATCGTGTTGTTTGGCGACCCCCGTAAAATGGTCGTTCGACCCCAAATGGGGTCGCGACCCATAGGTTGAGAACGGCTGGTCTAAATCCTGATCAGCTAAAAAAAAAATGCAATCTTTTTAAAAAGATCAGTTCTACTGATATGAGGACATCAATTAAAGATAAACCTTTGAATCAAGCTCAGAGTTTGATGATTGCAAGCACAGTTTTCTTAATCACAATATGGAAATGTCGTTCCATGTTCAGCTTCCCAGACTGACCTACAGCCTTAAGAACTACATGAAGCAATCTACAATTTCTCGATCAGAGAGAAGTTCCTCAAGATGGTCTCCAGCATGAGTCCAAAAGCTCGGAAGGCAGAACCCCTGGTTCCGATGACTGACCCAGATAGAATCCTGCAAGATTATCCTGGGACATATATATTCGCCTTTATTTGTTCAGTATTGCGTGTTGTCTCCCTCCCAAACATTAATAGGTCTGCTCTTTGGGGGGGGGGAGGTGTCTACAGTGTGGTCAAAAAAAGTCAAGATGACGGTCCTGATGATGCAATTGAAGCTCTGCCTGTTTTTATGTGCAACATAGACACCTGTGGTTATTGCTTATTTCTTGTGCAGATGAAGATAGCCAGGTCTGCCACAAGAATGGAAATATCTCATTTTGTATTATGGGAGTCTTTGCAATAAGAACAGTCCTGCCACAGACAGGGTCCATCTTTATCTCCTCCAAGTCAACATACAGTCTTTGCCAAAATCTCCTTTCAAGTAGAAATCTTTTGAAGTTGGCTGTCCTTTAAAGGTTTCCCTCTGCCCTGAGGAGATTTTTAAAAAAGGAAAATAGGTTGTTAATAGGGCAGGTTGTTAACAGGGCAATATTGGAAGAAGGAATCTTTGCCTACTTTGCAAGAATGGTTTTTTAAAGTTTCTTACTTAGCGGAAATGGCAAAAATTTCGGCTTTCTTGAAAGATCAAGCGCAAGAGAAATATCTCTTGGTGTGGAAAAGATGGATAAATTTTATACAATATAAGTATGATATAAGAAAATATTATCTAGCTTTCGAATAATTTATATTTAAAGTTTAAGATATTATCTAGAAGTGTAATTATTATTATTCTTTAATTTTTTATTTTTTTATCTTCCCTTTTTTTTCCTCTTTTTGTTTTTTATATATAATGGAGTTAAAGTATTATACAACTTGTTTATTGAGTGTAATTATATTTGCTTAAGGTTTATTTGGGCTTAAAACTTTTTTTCTTTTAAGTTCTAGTTAAGCCTGTATTCAGCTCTGGGAAGAATGGGGGAGGGTTTTGGGGTGGGTTGGGAGGGATTGGGGAAGGGGTTTTTATTGTAAAATTTTAAAAAATTTTAATAAAAAAAAAGGAAAATAAACTGCAGCGTCACTCTTCCTGTTGACACTGAGAGGATGACAACAACTAGAGAATAGAGTGAAACCCTTTCGTTCCAGTTCCATAATCTTTTTCTTTGTTTTGTGAAATTTTGTGGCAATTACAAATCTGGGAGCAAAAAGTGGATGCTTAAAACTTCCCCTTGGCTGTCTTTCAGCTAAATCAAGATTTGGTGAAATGGGGTATAAACAGTGAGGGATTTAGCCGGTTCGCACCGGTTCCGTAGAACCGGCAGCTAATTTTTTGTTGACTTCGGTGAACCGGCTGATGCCCTAGCCCTTTTTCACAAGGCCCAGAATGGACCTCCGGAAGTGGGTGGATGCCAATTCCGGAAGTCTGAGCCAGGGAGGCCTCCCAGGCCACGCACCAGAAGTGTGTGGACACCACTTCCGGTGGGCCGATCTGGGCCTGGGAGGTTCCCTGGCTCAGAACGGACTTCTGGAAGTGGCATCCATGCAGAGAACCAGTTGTTCAGATATTTGAAACCCACTGTTTTTATACTGGGTATAAATACGAGAAAACGATTGGTTACACTTTTTCTGACAAACAATTTGTTATTAGTTTGTCATTTATCGCTTCATAATGCTGCAGTTGCCATATTCGAATAGAATAGAGCTGGAAGGGACCTTGGAGGTCTTCTAGTGAATCTAGCCCAGTGGTTCTCAACCTTTTTAATGCCGCGACCCCCTACCGGTCGTAAGTCGAGGACTACTCAACCAGTCGTAAGTCGAGGACTACTCAACTGGTGCAGCATTGTTTGCAGAATGGGACTTTTGGCAGGCTCAGCAGGGCAGAGACAGCCTGGACAATTCCTATTGGCTTTTGAAAGCCAATAGAATTAGACTCTATTCAAGAGAATCTATTCTTTTGAAAGCCAATAGAACAAAAGGGAGTAGCACAGCTAAGGAAAAGGGGGAAAAAATGGCGGACTGTGTTGTTTGGCGACCCCCGTGAAATGGTCGTTCGACCCCAAATGGGGTCCCGACCCACAGGTTGAGAACCACTGATCTAGCCCAACCTCCTGCTCAAGCAGGAGAACCTATTTCAGACAAGTGGTTGTCCAATCACTTCTTAAAAGGCTCCAGTGATGGAGCACCCACAACTCCTGGAGGCAAGCCGTTCCACCGGTTAATTGTCCTCATGGTAAGGAAGTTTCTCCTTAATTCCAGGTTGCTTCTCTCCTTGGTTAGTTTCCATCCATTGTTTCTTGCCTTGCCTTTTGGTGCTTTGGAAATAAGTTGACCCCTCCCTCTACTTTGTGGCAGCCCCTTAAATACGCACAGAATAAGCTCCCAGAAGCTTATGCCTTTTCATAAAATTTGTGAGAAAAATGCTACCAGACTCCTGTTTTGTTTTGTTTTTGTGACTATGAACTGACACCATTGTCTTTCCACAATGCATACACGTGAGCATTCCAACTTTGATCCAGTAATTGCATACATCTTATTTCACTATCAGAAGATATCCCCACCCCCCACCCCCATCACTACCAAGTCAGCTTGCATAATTTCTGCCTGTCAACTCAGAACTCAATGCAACCTCTCTCTTTCTAGATGAAATATTCGGTTCACGCAAACTCTTATTTCAGTACAGGATCTGCAGCTTTGCCCTGATGCTTTGCAGTGTTCCCAGCAATGGGCAGTCATTTTTAACATAAACTTAATTATATGACAAGGCCCTGGCTGCCCTTCGCCTGCAATGAGCTAATTTCTGTTATTCTAATCTTGGTGTAACCTTGCCAAACCTGTTTGACCAGAGATAACAATAGGGTGAGTGCACACAATACTTCTACCTTCAACTCTCTCTTTTGCCTTGTTAAGGCTCTTTACAGTTGCAACGTTTCACTTCGAACTCTCTGAATGAGCTCTTCTGAATGGCCGGCCCCATAGTGTCCTGGATATCTGATTTGCTATCTTAGCAGGAGAAGATATTCCCGTGTCATCATGCTCCTTTTTCTCTGCTGTGGGAGATGGTTCATCTAGACTCACGTTTATGTTAACCGCTGCAGGAGACATGCAGGACTGACATCAATTTAACCAGGACAGCCAGGTATGTTTTATGCTTTAGTCATTTCATTGGCATTTTGTTTCTGAGAGGGCAGAAGTTAACGCTATCCTTACCAGCAGCGAGATTTCGCTCCCCTTCCTTTCCTGGGTTTTCATTAGTGCCAAAGCTAAACTAAGTGCTATAGGTTGGGGGGGGTCAACTTCTCCTAGCATCCATGGAGACAACAACATATTTCCAGCAGGTTTGTTTGTTTGTTTATGGGCTAATTTTGAACCTTCCTTCTTTATTCCGAAGGATTGTTGAATGAAAAATCTTCATCGGGGTCCAGTCCAAGCTCGGAATAAACAAAATGGAGACTGCTTTAGAAAGAAAGTTGTAGTTTATTGAAGAGCAGAGCCAGACAGAAATGTGGCTCTGAGAAAGCTGACCACACATAGCTGGGAGTGGTGGGTTTTTATACCTTCTTGGGCTTTTGAGGTTGTTTCCTGTTCAGATTGCATGAACTTTGACCAGAGGTTCAGTGTGTCCTTTTGGTATTCTGATGGTGGGTATGTAGATTTTAGGGGGTCTTTGTCTTTCTAATCTCATCAGCTTCTAGCTTCCTGGCTCCAAACTTTCTGAAAGGATTATTAAATTTGCATTTCTACAGATCTGGTTTCTGCTGAGTTTCCGGCTGTGGGGGGGGGGGGAATTGCCTCATTGCCTCCTTATCTCTGTGTGTACATATGTGCCTTCATGCGTGTACACTCCATTGCAGCAAGCCTGAACATGGTGGCTTCGCTTGATCCCAGCTGACTTGGGAAGAACATGCTGGAAAACTGCTTCTGAAAGTCAATTTGCTGAATTTCTCCAAAACTACATTATGTGATGTTTTGCGCCTTTTCATTATTTACAGTGTTGTGCTCAATTCTTGCTACTTGGCCCTGCTGGCTCACCCAGCCTATGTTATCTATTCGGGATGCATCCAATGTTTGTATTTGTCACCAGGCTCTGCCATATCCCAGCCAGATTCAAATCATGCAGATCCGGTTCCATTTTGGAATTCAAGTCTTCCAAATGGGTGTTAATGTGAAAATAGTCCAGTTTCTTCCTTTTTCCTCCTCCCAAGGGTATGAAATGCAGTGTGTTACTTTCCTTAAACAATGGGGACAGAGCAACTCAGACTAAAATGAATGTTTCTGCCTGGGTGTATTGTATACCTCCATGGCTGGCTCAGGAATTCTGGGAGTTGAAGTCCACGAGTCATAAAAGAGCCAAGGTTGCCTACCCTGTCCTATCCAAATGACTATAAACACTGGATTAAAGAAATAAACTTAATCCACGAATCTCCATCTCAAATAATGGCATGTGTTCCGTTTTTTAATTTCTTTACCATTGTCAGCATATAGAGTTGATTTGCGTTAGGCTGCCAGCCTTCTTCTTGACAAGTTGCAATTATCTTTTGCGGTGTTATATTAAATGAGAGGCTGGGAACTTAGGGATAACAGTTTGCCAAATCACTTAATCTATTTATAACAGGTGTTCTAGTTACTATCCTGTTAGTAAAATATAGATGCAGAAATAATTATCATGGAAAATAAAATGGTGGCAAAACTGTCTGGTGCATTATGAGAATGATAGAAGTCTCCATTCGAAATAAAACATTAAAGGCATCTTAATTTGTGTGAAAACTCAGATCTCCAATAGCTTTCAACGTACTGCAACAGGAAATGAGGTTTAAAAGAAAACCAGGTTACGTCTGAGTAGGGAATCTCAATTGCAAATCCAGCCTGAAAACTCACTAGATGTCAGCCCCACCCCATCACACAGCATTGTGTGGAGGCAGTAAAAAAAAAATTGAAGGAGAGAGTTCTTCTCTGTAAGTTTTTGGGAGAAAGCTGAGTCATCTGTTTCTTGCATAGCAAACAAATGAATATTAAAAATGGTTGGCAAAATAATTAAAATTAATTATATACAGGAAGCCCTCGACTTGCAATCACTGGTTTAGTGACCATTCAAAGGGACCACTGAAAAAAAATGACTTACAATCATCGGTCCTCACACTTATGACCGTGGCAGAATCCCCACAGTCATGTGATCAAAATTGGGGACTTGGCCACCCCCAGATATTTATCATGGTTGCAGTATCCCGAGGTCTTATGGTCGTGATCTTCCCAGCTGTTTTCCGACAAGCCAAGTCAGTGGGGGAAGCGATATTCATTTAACAACCACCTGATTTGCTTAATAACCGAAGTGATTTACTTAACAGCCATGGCAAAATTGGATGTGCCTCCCTTAACAACTGCCTTGCTTTGCCATGGACATTCTGGTCCTAAATGTGGTCATAAGAACTATCTGTAAATTGCTATTAGTTCACGTATAAGTTAAAGGGAATCTGGAATTCTAAAGCTGCTGTGTCATTATGTAAAATGCTTTACACATTTTCTCTAATTTTTCTCTCTCTTTTACTTTCATTGCCTGTCTTTTTCCAAACTCTTGAAAGCCATATCTAGAAGTCTCCATTTAAAATAAAACATTAAAGGCATCTTAATTTGTGTGAAAACTCAGATCTCCAATAGCTTTCAACGTACCGTATATACAGTATATCAATGGTTCTCAACCTTTTTAATGCTGCAACCCCCAACCGATTGTAAGTCGAGGACTACTCAACCGGTCGTAAGTTGAGGACACTGGTGCAGCACCGTTTGCAGAATGGGACTTTTGGCGGGCTCAGCAGGGCAGAGACAGCCTGGACAATTCCTATTGGCTTTTGAAAGCCAATAGAATTAGACTTTATTCAAGAGAGTCTATTCTATTGGCTTTCAAAAGCCAATAGAATAAAAGGGAGTAGCACAGCTAAGGAAAAGGGGGAGGGGAAATGGCGGACTGCATTGTTTGGCGACCCCCGTGAAATGGTCGTTCGACCCCAAATGGGGTCCCGACCCACAGGTTGAGAACCACTGCAGTATATAGCTTTTCTCTATGGTTTGCTTTATCCCATATCTTCAGTCAATCAGAATAGAGCTGGAAGGGACCTTGGAGGTCTTCTAGTTCAGCCCCCTGCTCAAGCAGGTGTCCCTATATCATTTCAGACAAGTGAGTGTCCAGTCTCTTCATCACCTCATGTGATGAAGACCCACAACTTCTAAAGACAAGCTGTTCCACTGGTTAATTGTCCTCACTGTTAGGAAGTTTCTCCTTAATTCCAGGTTGCTTCTTTCCTTGATTAGTTTCCATCCATTGTTTCTTTTCTTGCCTTCTGGTGCTTTGGAAAATAAATTGACCCCCTCCTCCTTGTGGCAGCCTTTCAAATACTGGAATATTGCTATCATGTCCCTCCCCCAATCCTTCTTTTCTCTAGACCGGCCACTCCCAAATCCTGCAACCGTTCTTCATATGTTTTAGTCTCCAGGCCATTAATCATCTTAGTTGCTCTTCTTTGCACCTTTTTTTTCAAAGCCTCAACATCTTTTTTGTAATGTGATGACAAAAACTGGATGCAGTATTCCAGATGTGGCCTTACTAATGCTTTATAAAGCGGTACTAATACTTCATGTGATTTTGATTACCCCTATATAATGTCATCAGCTTTGCATAGTCTTCTGTGTTGGGCATAGTGCCTGTTAATCAGTTCCAGGCTTTGAGTTTACTCAGATTCAAACAAACTGCTTTCTCAATAGGCCATTTGAGGCAGGACAGATACCATTCGGTTGTAAATGGCAAGAATAGAATAGAATAGAATAGAATAGAATAGAATAGAATAGAATAGAATAGAATAGAATAGAATAGAATAGAATAGAATAGAATAGAATAGAAATTAATTAGAATAGAATAGAATAGAATAGAATAGAATAGAATAGAATAGAATAGAAATTATTTAGAATAGAATAGAATAGAGTAGAGTAGAGTAGAGTATTTATTTATTTATGAGACTTATATACCGCTTTAAGTGCAAGCACTCTCTAAGCGGTGTACACCAGTAAGCAATGTATATATATATTTACATTGCCCCCAACAATCTGGGTCCTCATTTTACCTACCCCGGAAGGATGGAAGGCTGAGTCACCTTTGAGCCGGTGAGATTTGAACCGCTGACCTGCTGAACACAGTCAGCTAAAGTGGCCTGCAGTACTGCACTCTAACTGCTGCGCCACCTCAGTAGAGTAGAGTAGAGTCGAGTAGAGTAGAGTAGAGTAGAGTAGAGTAGAGTAGAGTAGAGTAGAGTAGAGTAGAGTAGAGTAGAGTAGAGTAGGGTATTCTTTATTGGCGAAGTCTGATTGGACATATAAGAAATTTGTTTCCAGTGTATTAGCTCTGTACATACAAACAACAAAGTAATGTAATCATAGGTTACTAATAGGAGGAAGTAGTAGAAAAGATGAGAAGGATAATAGTAATACAGCCCTACTGCATGGGTAAATATTGTTAGATATTTACTGCTGTGCAAATTAGGTGTTCAGTAGAGTGACAGCATGAGGGGAAAAAATTATCCCAGTGTCTAGTTGCTTTGGCATGTGATGCCCTGTAGAAGCATCCTGAGTGGATGAGTTGAAACAGTTTATATCCAGGATGTGAGGGATCTGTAGATATTTTCTCAGCTCTTATGATGAGATGTTTTCTCATTATATTGTAGGATTATAATAGAACGTTAGTCTTCAAAAGACAATGAAAAGCAGACATTGGTTGAGTTGTTTTCCCAACTAAAAAGCTTGCTTCCAAAATCCTGATCCCGCCCAGTGACTATAGCTGCTGTTGTCTTGGGTTGTTATGACAATATTCCAGCAGAATGTTTAAAGAATCTACACTTTTTGCTATATTATTTCCTGCCCATGGCAAGGCTTATACTCTAGAGCAAAAACAAGCTCTCTTCTGTAGCATGTTGATTGAAGGATTAACAACTGGCTTTGGCAGAACAGTTGTGGAAGGGAAGGAAAATTCCACACATTCTCTCCAAGGCATTTTTTTTTTTTAAGGAAAGAAACAAGTTACTACCAACTGATTTTTTTCTTTTCTCCAGATCATATATGAATCGGAAGAATCAGCTACTCTTCCTTTCCAAACAC